TTGACAGTCGAATTCTAAGACTCTGAAATTAGTGAAGAGGTAACCACTTGCTGAGTTGAATAATGTTACTTTCAAAATGTCCTCAACGTAAGGTAACTCCCTCCTTCCTTTATATAGCTAAGAAATATAGTTACGAAAAAAAAACAAGATAGTTACATATTCATTTACATTTATTGGCTACAGCCGCCAAACCATTGCGCTTCTCTTTTGAACGATCATTAGATTATTAGATTGAAAAATTTTTAAATATCAGTTTAAAGCTTAACATTTTATAAGCGGGTGTCTAAATCGATGAATGGTTTTCGTAAAGCGATACGACAATTGATAGAGCAAACGAAAGATATATCATAAGAGGGTTTTTCTTTTTTCTTGAGTTGTAATATAAAAAGGTATCAAGTCCATTCCAATGAGTGTTTCATGTCCATGGGCGTCATTGACCAGCTCGATGTTCTCGCCGCTCGTTTGCCCCCTTCTATTATAAAAAAAAATAAGAATTAAATAAACATCATACCATATTGATAATTTAGCTAAGACATATCATGAATTGATTAGACTCATTCATACATTTTGATAAATCAAATGTTATCAAAGCACTACATTACACAATGGTTCAAACTTAACCTAATGTCAAGTTTGTTTTTCATTTCTTAACTAACGTCCAGTACGTTGTTGAATTGGGTTAGATGAAAATGAGTTTTGTGTAAGACAAAGGTTTTCAATAAAACAAAAACAAAAAATGAAATCGTAAAATTACTAAATTAAATATATTTATAGTCTAAAGAAGATAGATTCATTGGTTTGTTCATTTGCATTGTACAGGCTAAGAAACTTCTGAACTGATGTGAATAATTGTTTTACAGTTGTGAAGTTTCTAATAAGAAAACCAATTTGACATTGCGCAAATTTTTGGGAGGCAATAATGTACAGCCACGATAATGCACGACCCAATAATTCGTGTACATGCTTTTTATGGGACACAGATTATTGGGCTGTACCGATAATGTACGGCCCGATAATGTACAGCCCAATAATGCACGGCCCGATAATTCGTGTACTAAAATCCTTTGTTTGTACACGGATTATTGGGCCGTGCATTATCGTGGCTGTACATTATTGCCTCCCAAAAAAATACACTGACGTTTTTGCTCGGGTCACACAGACTCAGATCAGTCATATATCACATTCCAGTGACTGTCTTACCCAATATGGAATACACTTTCAAGTGCTATAGCCATGTCATACGTTAACTGACGTACAATTAGATGGCGTGACGATTGAGAATGACATCTAATTAAATGCATATTTACCCATAGTTCGTATGTTTGATACAATCTTGCGAACTGCCATACAGGCTACTAATCCGTTTCACTTGATTTTCACTCGCATTACGCCAGTAAATGGAATGCAAATTACCGTAACCATTACCAACTAGTAATTGTATGGACTCACTGGCGTCAGTTAGTGACAACAATACGTCAGTCCAGCTTTAGATTGCTACTGTTCAACTGGACTGACCGAGTGTGTACCATGCATTATGTAGACGCATACTGGCAGCAGAGAATCAAACAAATTCAATCGGCCAATAGAAAACTATACGTTAGCGTCATATTTTGACCAATGAGAAAGCTACAGTTTGAATATTGCCATTGTTATCATTTCGAAATTCCACAAAAAATATAACAATATCGTAAAATATGGAGTTTAAATTGATAATTTCCGTGGGTCTGATGACGCTAAAGTACAATCATTTATTGTGTATGCAAAACAAAACTGTGTTAAAAAATGTAAAGTTCACATAATCTTTACATTTTCTCCCAAAAGTGTAACAATATGTGTGCATGAATCAATTTAACCAATTACTACCAGAACTTTAATCATACGTTCCTAATCATTTTATTTTCAACAACTAAATATTTCGGAAGAAAATAGGAAATCCGGAATTTGTGGTAACACAAAAACCAAAAACAAGAATCCACAGATCCACTAAACTAGTCATAGAGTTTCTGTTTTTTTTTAGGCTTGCGTATATAAATAAAAAATAATTAATTAATAATATCTTGTTTGCTTAATTAAAGAAAATCAACATTTACTAATTTAGCTGTTTATTTAAAAAAAAAAATATTTTTTTAGTCTGGCGAAAACACAACTGTCATTTGTTCTATGACGTCACGCTGTTGATTAGAATCTGTGGAAGTGGTTAGGAAATGAAATTTGCCAAATTCAAATTCAAGATACAAAGTTTGAAATGTTTTTGTGATTATTTACTAGCTTTCGCCCGCAGATTCGTCCGACCGAAATTAAGAAAAAAACAAATACTAGTAACGTTAGTGTTCTTTCATCGAGTTCCGTTCAGCCGTTTAGGTTACAAATCCTAACAAACATCCGTTCAAACTTTCGCATTTATATTAGTAAGATATTTGCGTAAAGTGTGTCCTGTCCATCTCCATTTGAGTTCTCTTATTGTTGTGATGATGTTAGTGTAGTTTTTTTGCCATTATTGTACATTTAACTTTGTCTAATTTCTTTATGTTCAACATACTTCTTTCCATTGACTTTTGGCAAACTTTTTCGTATAACATTTATTCAATTCTGTGAAATTTTTTTTATGTTAAAGTAAACTTTTCTAAGTTTTGTGCTGTACAACTGAGTTTTCTTAGTAAAAATGCTTTTATTTACTTAAAATATAAATATTTACAACCTGTATTGTTGGGTGAACAATTTAATTCTCCTCGCTTAAATTTTATGATTACAAGGAACTATTTTGAAAAAGTATGGTAGGATAAGAAAAAGGAGACCCCGGAACCTTGGTCTATGTCATTAGAGGCCACCGAGGGGGTTTTAATAGGTCAAATCCTACATAACCATGCATTCCCCCTGAAGGCAAGGTATCTTTTGAAGATTTCCCCCCGAGACACAGGAGCCAATGTAAATTATTTCTAATCCAGTGAAGCAGTGGGATGAATTTGTTTTAAAGAGTTTCTGAAGAGAAACTCTATAATGAAACAGAGAAGTTTTTATTTTTTCTGCAAACAAATGGGACAATACAAGGGCATGGGAAGATGGCAAGAGATGTAGAGGTTTGATAGTGGTAGAGTTTGCTTTAACATCTTCAGACAGGCGTGAAGTGGGAGCAATTCCGCGTTTTTGCAATTCACTCTGTAAACTTGATCTTTAGTAACGGATAGGGATGACAAAAAATTTGAAACATTAGGCGTACAGAGTTTGTCTTTACTAGGAAGATGAGTGAAAGTAGTGTGGTCATAAACTGACGGGAATTGAGTTGCAAAGAGATCACAATTATTTGGTCCATTGGTTGGATTGGATTTCTCGGTGGAGACTCATAGGAAGGGGAATTGTCCTCTTTTTGTGCGTCTCCTCTTCTTTCAATCAAGGTAGGCAATGCCTCTGCAATGTTTATGGGCAGTGGTCGCTTTCCATTTCGGTGGATTCAGGTGACCGCTTGCTCTTTGCTATCTTATATTATTAAAAAAGGTAGAAATTGAGATCTGATGGTTTTTTAAAAGGATGTTAGGGTGTTCGCGTATTGTATTGTATTGTGCAGTGTGAGTCATTCGCGTATTGAAGTATTTCACGAATAAAAAACAAAATGCACTAAAAACAAAACAAAATACACCAAAAACAAAATATTCTCAAAAAAAACAGTACACTAAAAAGTAACGAAATAAT